GAGACTTGGAGGGCTGGTCGAGTTGAGGCTGGAAAATAGTTGAGCCTCTGCTAACCTGTGTCAAACTTGATTAGAAAATGGTTAGTTAAGTAGCTAAGCAAATGCGTATTGTAGTTAGTGTACTTAAAGGATCATTCGGTATTTTAAAATGATAGTAGGTACAAAAAGTTTTGCCTTGTACCGTGTCCGAGCACGATTGTCCCCCCTCCCCACTCACCTGTCTAACTATTTGAGCCAGAGCACGTTTACGTCGTCTCTTCAGTTTTCACATACATTGATTTATTGTGGTGGCCTACCACGTATCAACACTGACCACCACATATTGATAATAAGGATAGCTATGTTAACATTAGATCACAGCTGTATGTTAAAGAACTGCTGGACAGCTGGCAGACATTTTTGTTTTATTTTCAGAATGTCTACGTCTCCACGTCGTCCTTGCCTTTAGAAAGACATAAGTCTTGTTTCGTGCCTAATAAAGCTCCAGGTCTCTTAACGACTATGAAGACTTTAGAGAAGATTGTGAAGGACGAACTTTTGAACTCTGTCCAGGATCAACTGGACCTGTTTCTGTTTCCTCATGTTGAGGGTGCAAAGAGCTTTGTGCGGCTGCTTTTTATTGAGTTTTCTTCAGGTTTTAATAGCATCCATCACTATTTTAGCAGGGTTTTAAGAGTCTTTTAATATCGGTCCTAGTCTTATCTGTTGTTGATGAACTTTTTAACTAACAGGTCTCAACTCAGGAGAGTGAATGCATTTTATCCGATGTTCTCTTTTCCTCCACTGGTACCCCCTCAGAGCTGTGTCTTATCCTGTGTACAGGGTCACGGGGGCTGGAGCCAATCCCAGCTGACATCAGGCGAAAGGCGGGTACACCCGGACATGTCGTCAGTCCATCGCAGGCTCCATGTGGCCCAGCATAAATAATTGAATATGACTTAGATTACGTTCAGACTGCAGGCCAAAGTGACCCAATCTGAATCTGATCTTTTCCAGTCTGGATTTGGGCGACTTTGATATGTGGTCCAAATCCAACACAGATCGGATCTTTTGAAATGCAACCTGAGTCTGCACATTCAGGTCGGAATTGATGCGACTTTGACATCACTCTAGAGCAGCTGTTTCCTGTTCTGCTGTAGACGGAGCCGCTATGAACAAAAAGCTCTACAAAAGCCATTACAAACATGTGGCTCTCTTTGTTCTTTACCTGCTATCATCTGCTCACAAATTCCCTAAAATCCACCGGACTGCGACCTGTCTTCTGAGTTACATGCATGCTACTGTGTCCTTGCCGACATAGTGGAGAGAGGTAATGTTGTGAGTTGTGGGCAGATGCGTTGTACAGCACAAGAAACGTAATGAAAGAACAGAAAGTTGTGAACACTTCGGGAGAAATGCTACAAATGATAGATCATCATATCGCACAGCTCTACTGCACATGTATGTCGTGGAAATTTTATTCCAGGAGAGGTTGAGCAAATATGAGTTACACAAACCGTTGTCTTTGAAGAATATTAACCAAAAGATAAACAGAGAATACTACAACAAAATCAGCTGGACCAGAGGTTCTGTCTCTGTCTCTCTGTCCAGAGCAAACAATGCATGATCATTTACACAGTCTGAGCATCTATGTTTGGGGAACACAAGATCCTTGACTAGTCCCTGTCAAGGAAGGAGAAGAAGCTAGTGAGGAAAACATCAACAACCCACATCCCTGACCTGAACCCCACACATTGGACAGACTGGAATAACAAGAATAATAATAGATGGAACAGGTTTAAATTTAAAACAATATATAACATAATAACAGGAGAAAAATAGCACTCTTAGAAGTACTTGCATAAAAGATAAGTGTAAGAAGAAAACTATTTTCTGCCCTTACAGTATTATGAGACGAAGGGAGAGCGAGCACTGCAGCCAGATGTATGTGGGTGAAGCTAGCAGTCTCCAGCTGAAAGGTTTTTTTTTTCTTATTCACTCTATCAGTATAAATGTGAGGACATCAAAGAGGCCCTCTTTTCACTCCACAGCTCTTCCAGTTTGTCCTTCTTTTCTTTTCAAGTCCAAGACTTGTTGACGTTCTTGCGCCTCCCAGAGTCCCCCATGTTTACTATCTACCCGGTAAGCTGCTTCCTATTTGATGCCGGAGGGGCCACGTCTGAGTTGTTGACAGTGTTAAGTCTTGGATTGTTACTATTAGATGAGCAAGACGTAAAACTTATGATATTAATCATGTTTTATTTTTTTGGATGACATCAAGAAGAAAAAAAGGACTGACTTTAAGGCCACCTTAATATAAACGAAAAATGACAGGAGCTTGCCATATTCCGACATTGGAAATTTGTCTTCAACAGTGACATTGCTTGAAAAGTCGTTTGGAGTAAGGCGCTAAGATGGTTTGGTCGCTATTAGTGGCAGAAGACTGAATTAACAGATATTGTCATGATGTTTACCTTCTTCTTCTTGTCTAGTGTATGACAGTCAAGGGTTCCTTCGAAGCTAGATGGTAGGCTGTGAGTATATATTTTACTAGTTTCACTTCTACTCAAAGGGCTTGTTTTCAGGCTCAGTAGTGTATTAACCAGCACTTCTGAATTGTCCCTACTGTTATTTAAAGTATTTGTGCAACAATTAGTGTATACAGTAATTTGTGTGTGAATATTAAATGACTGCTTGACTTAATTTTCCATGTCTACAGGCCTTTGGAGCTGATGTACAAGTACAGCAATCTCAGTGAGGGAGCCTGTAAGCCTGGTTTTGCAGCTGCCAAGATGACTGCCATTTATCCAAAGTAAAATACTTACCATATCTTTATACACGTTTAAAGTGACCGTGTAGCATTTTAGACTTCAAACGTAATTGTCAGATATGTTGTGATAAGTGTGATCCAGATATCCTGTTAACTTATTAGTCTTTACACATGTCCCTGAAAATCATGATATCAATCGTATTACAAATGAGATTGTGGGTTATTACTGTAGAGAGTCCATTGTGCTGTCTTCAGACACTTCGAAGCTACTTTTATTACAGTGAATATGTTTTCCTACCGTAGCAATTTCCAGACTTAACAATTTGATGGTAGAAACTCACAAATCACATAATGTTTTAAAGGCAAAAGTTACAGTGTAATATTAAAAAATATTGATACTTAAGCACTAAATGTACAAGAATAAATAATTGACACTGTAAGGGTTTTTTGTTTTTATTGTTTTGTTCACCCCAGTTATATCAGTGAGGGCAGGTTAAATTACACCAACAAAAATAATACTGTCAAAAGCTAGCTAGTATGGGTGGGGCTATTCGTCAACGTAATCGATTACGTAAATACGTCGACTCGCATTACGTGCCTTGAAGTGACGCTGCAGTATTTTAGACAGACACTCAACAACATGCTGCTCTGTGAGCTCTGTAAATTGGAAATAGCTTCACTGCAGTACAACTGCTGTCCATGAATACGTGAGGATGGGAGGGGAATACCAATGCGGAGGATGTGATTTTGAAATTCTGAAAGAACTGGAGTTTTTGGTTAGTTTCCCCCAGGACACTGATCATCAGTGATGGCAAGTTTTTTTCCGAACATTGTAGTCTGCTGCTCTGATTTATTACGTAAGGGTAGAATATAAAAAATTAAATAAAATAGATAAAACCGTGTGTGTGTGTGTGTATGTATATATTAATAGACAAAAAATAAGAAATTAATAAAAAAAAAGAAATTTAAAAGCAAAACAATTACTAAAATAATAAACAATCAAAATAATAAATATTTGAAAATCAGTACAATTATTTATCAGTCTGAGTTTTCACTAGTTGTCCTCACTTCATGGCATGAGGAGACATGTTTTGCAGCAATTATTTGACATTTGGGCATTCCTCCCAGTAATATGGAAGTTTCTGTGTGTCTGATATAAATTCGAATTCAGGGTATATTTGGGAAATGTTTGCAAAGTTGTTTTGTCTTAGTGTTTTTTTATTTAGGGCATGAGGTTAAAAAGTGCAGCTCTGTCTCTACCTGTCCCTTGTCACACTGGGAGCAGAGTCTCTCCTCTTGTGGTAGCCAGCTCTGTCTGTGGCGACACTTTTCTATGGTCAGGCTTTGTTCACTCAGTCTGTATGTTGTCAACATTTTATTGTGCTCAGGTAATTTGCCAGTTTGAATTCTCTTTTAGGATCAGATAACATCGTAATTTACTTTGTGTTTTGGTCGTTTCTTTCTAGTATTCAATATATTTTTCTTCTGCTTGCTGATAATTTGGTTTGGTCTGCTTGAGTTGGTGTTGCTGTCCTGAGGCTGTTGGGGACTTGTTACTGCAGAGAGCCTCAGGACCAGCTGGCTGAGGGGACTCTTCTCTGGTTTTAGCTCCTGGTATGTTCGGACTTTGTGATGCTATGATGCAAAATGCTCTTTTCACACAGACATCGTTCCACCTCAAAGGCGGATCACATCGGACCCCCCTTTCCGGCTCGGTACCTTTCACACAGCGAGCTGCTGTTTTGGCATAATAATCCTGGAAAATTGGGTAGTGTGAAAGTGCCTATAGATTGAAGAGAATTGGACTGAGATGGCATCCCTGCCTCACTCGCCGGCCCTGGGAGAAAAACGCTGTTTGTTTGTTTCCAATCTTGATGGCACATTCACTTTTTGTATACATGTTCTTAATCAAATGTTTTTCCTCCAATGCCACTTTCAAGTAGCCTATAGAAAAGGCCCTTGCCAGAAGGAATCAAAGGCTTTTTGGAAGTTATATTGGAAACACATTAATTAAACTCAACATCAAACTATATTGGTATAAATGGTATTGTCTAATTTTATATCTTCTTTGAAATTATATATTATATTGTAGCTCCTTTAAAGGAATAGGGCAGTGCATAATGTGTGTGTGTAGTGAGTGTGTGGATGAGTGAAAGAGCGCTAGAAAGTGACGGTGAAAGGGAACAGAGCAGAGGAAAAGATTAGCAGTTATCAGTCTGGCAGTAAATGTACAGTACGGTGTAGGTTACTAATTATAATTCAATTTTCAGCTCAAGCACCCAGTCCGGGCAGAGGGATCTTTCCCCCTCACAATGACAAAAGAAGTGCTTTGAAGGAGTTTTGTTAGTTATTGCAGGGTTTACAAGAGTTAGAATAGTAGCATGGTTTTATATGTTTTGTGTATGTATTGTAGTAAGTCTATAGTTGCCAGGGGCTCTTTTATGGCAGTTGCCTACCTTACCTAATGGTAAAGTCCACCCAGTGATTGTGGTGCTCTGGAGAGCCACATAGTTCACCTACTGTATGCCTAATAGCTCTCTGTTCTCAAAGTGGTGTGATAGAGGAAAGATCCCATTTCTGTCTCTGCATTATTAAAGGCCAAAGAAGTCCCCACACCGTGAAAGCCCTACAACTGCTTATGTTTTTAGCACTATGTATAAAGTGATTCAGAATATGCAGTGGTATGAATGGGCCCATGTATTGTGTAGATCTATTTTTGTCCTCTTCTGCTCTGCTGTTGTCCCTGTGCGTGAGAAAACCTCAGGCCAGTTCACTTATCTACTTACTCTCTGAGCACCAGAGGCACGCAACCCTCAAACCCACCATGGCCTTCAGACAGCAGCGTTAATGAAGTGTGCTCAGAGTCCAGATTGTAACCTGTTAAAATAACACAGGAGGATTTTCCTCAGAGGCCTGGGGCTCCTTGACCCATTTTTAATTCTCTTCTAATTTATATCAGGGATGTGATTTTTCCGGATTAATCTGGAATTCCTGATTTCCAACCTGAAAATGTGACCCACGTGAAACCTGCAGATCCGTAGAAAAATATGTTATGGTCATGCTAGCTTCTCTGTCCGCTCTAATATATGCTCAGCTTTGTACTTTTTGTTTAATGTTATAATATTGCAGTAATACACTCATTTCTACTAGCTCCTCCTCCAAGTTGTCACAGTAGCCCGATCCAGGATGCCATTGTGCCAACATGTGCTGCTTCTAGCCGCCTCCTCCTGAGAGCAACACATTCCCCTTGTTCTGTTTTACTGAAGTTATTGTTATAAATTTTGTTTATGGTGGCTTGGGTTTGTAGGTGTTGCTAGTGTAGGTTTTTTGCCAATCACATGCCTGAGATAGGCGGTAAATCCTAACAGAAGTGATCTCAGGGCATTTTTATATTATAGAGTTGGGCTAGACTTTTTTCCTAATAATTTTATTATTTTAGAGAGACTCAACAATTCATACCATGAGCAAGCACTTGGCAAAGGTGGCAAGGAAAAAGTCCCTTTTAACAGGCAGAAACCTCGACCAGAACCTAGACTCAGGATTGGTGGCCAACTGCCTCAACCGGCTGTTCAGTCAACTTCAACTAATCTAAATCATAATCTTCCAAAAGAAGCCCAGTTCTCAGTAAATCAAATTCAGTCAAATAGGAAACACCCATCTAGATTACACCCTATGTTATGATTACCTGGGGTTCAAAATTAGTGCCTCAGTTTGAAATGAAAGGGACGTGTGGTTACGGAGATATAAAATGAATGTATGGCTATGGGAGCGTTATTTGATATACGAATGATAACGCCACCTAGAGGCCGACTGACACCAAATTTTGCACAGCTCATCAGGGGGGCATACTACATAAGGTCCTCAAGGTTGGTGTTGATCGGCCATTCCAAACCTAACAAATGACACTTCCTGTTTTTGGTGTTTTGTGCAAATATGTGTTAGCTTATAATTCGAACAGTTTTTCATGTATCGATCTAGGGAGCACAAGCCTGTATCAGCTTGGTCCAGAGATGGTGCGTGTCAAGTTTGGTGCAAGTTCGGACTTGCGGCTTCGGAGGAGTTAATCAAACTAGGTTTTTCAGTTTTCGCGATTTTGCGGGAAAAAAAAGTCTAGGCGGAAATGTGCGTGGCCTATACCAGGAGATTCAGCTCGATCCCCCGAACGCGTGGATATAAGGTTTTTGCGCCTTTTATAGGCGGGAGTTCCAAAGCCAAACGTGTTGACCTTGCTTATAGCGCCCCCTAGAGGTAGAAGTGTGCGAATTTTTGTGCCTGAGGTACTTGCAGGGGTTTGGACCTACCCTATGAGTTTTGCGTCCCTAGCATTTACCGTCTAGGCTGCAGTATTGGAATTAGCGGTGGAAGAATAATAATAAAAATCCTAATGATTACAATAGGGTTCCCAGCCGCTTCGCTGGTACTGGGAACCGCATGCCTTGCATTCACTGGTTCCCAGCCCACTTAGTCTTTCCTCAATTACTCAAAATTCCAGCTCATGTTTTTTGAATTTGCTCAAAAAGAAACAAACTGGCTTATCCACTCCCAAATAGTCAGACTGTAAAAATACTGCTCCTCTGCCCACATAACTTGCATCTACCTAAGGTTTAAACTGCATTGCCTCCTAAACAGGCTTTAACCCTAACCCTAATAAGGGCTTAAACATTCTAAACATATTCAGCCTTAGCCTTCAGTGGGTTTGTAAGGGGCGCAGCAACAGTGGAAAAAATCCTAAAAAACAATAACTGATCCAAAGACAGCCCCTTTTTAGTTGTGGAGCGGGACATAGTCACCTTTGCATGCAGTGGACACACTGACTTGCCCCACCATCTGACTGTGGACGATGGACATCCCAATCATCAGAGTAAGTGACCACATCATCCAGACATAAAGAATCTTCCAGATCTCCGACAACCATATACATTAGGCGTTGAAAGGTTTCCAGGGGGTTACACTAACCAAAGGGCATCACACTATATGAATATAACCCAGTGGGTGTCAAGTCAGCTAGTTGAGTGTGCTTGGAAACCTCCAAATGTCTTAATAAACCATCCAGATTCCTGGCTTCATATGGCCCTAATAAGTCTTCTCCCCCCTTGCTCTGCAACAGAATGAAGGAATGCAGACATTGACAGACATTCCTGATCGTCTGATTGGTGTGCACGAAAGTAGTATGGCTCTAAATAAGTTAATTAGGAAAGCCACACACCTGTCTATATAAGACCTTACAGCTCACAGTGAATGTCAGAGCAAATGAGAATCATGAGGTCAAAGGAACTGCCTGAAGAGCTCAGAGACAGAATTGTGGCAAGGCACACATCTGGCCACGGTTACAAAAAAATTTCTGCTGCACTTAAGGTTCCTAAGAGCACAGTGGCCTCCATAATCCTCAAATGGAAGACGTTTGGGACGACCAGAACCCTTCCTAGAGCTGGCCGTCCGGCTAAACTGAGCTATCGGGGGAGAAGAGCCTTGGTGAGAGAGGTAAAGAAGAACCCAAAGGTCACTGTGGCTGAGCTCCAGAGATGCAGTCGGGAGATGGGAGAAAGTTGTAGTAAGTCAACCATCACTGCAGCAATCCACCAGTCGGGGCTTTATGGCAGAGTGGCCCGACGGAAGCCTCTCCTCAGTGCAAGACACATGAAAGCCCGCATGGAGTTTGCTAAAAAGGACTCCAAGATGGTGATAAATAAGATCCTCTGGTCTGATGAGACCAAGATAGAACTTTTTGCCTTAATTCTAAGCGGTATGTGTGGAGAAAACCAGGCACTGCTCATCACCTGTCCAATACAGTCTCAACAGTGAAGCATGGTGGTGGCAGCATCATGCTGTGGGGGTGTTTTTCAGCTGCAGGGACAGGACGACTGGTTGCAATCGAGGGAAAGATGAATGCGCCAAGTACAGGGATATCCTGGACGAAAACCTTTTCCAGAGTGCTCTGGACCTCAGACTGGGCCGAAGGTTTACCTTCCAACAAGACAATGACCCTAAGCGCACCGCTAAAATAACGAAGGAGTGGCTTCACAACAACTCCGTGGCTGTTCTTGAATGGCCCAGCCAGAGCCCTGACTTAAACCCAATTGAGCATCTCTGGAGAGACCTGAAAATGGCTTCCACCAACGTTTACCATCCAACCTGACAGAACTGGAGAGGATCTGCAAGGAGGAATGGCAGAGGATACCCAAATCCAGATGTGAAAAACTTGTTGCATCTTTCCCAAAACGACTCATGGCTGTATTAGATCAAAAGGGTGCTTCTACTAAATACTTAGCAAAGGGTCTGAATACTTATGACCATGTGATATTTCAGTTTTTCTTTTTTAATAAATTTGCAAAAATTTCTACATTTCTGTTTTTTTCTGTCAAGATGGGGTGCTGAGTGACATTACTGAGAAATAAAATGAACTTTTTTGATTTTTGGAAAATGGCTGCAATGAAACAAAGAGTGAAAAATTTAAAGGGGTCTGAATACTTTCCGTACCCACTGTATATATATAATCTGTGAAGAGCACAGGGCAATTAGCAAGACACCCCCGTCTTGCTAATTGCCTATAATTTCCACCTGTTGTCTATTCCATTTGCACAACAGCATGTGAAATTGATTGTCAATCAGTGTTGCTGCCTAAGTGGACAGTTTGATTTAACATGAGTTTGAGTTACATTGTGTTGTTTAAGTGTTCCCTTTATTTTTTTGAGCTGTGTGTGTGTGTGTGTGTGTGTGTGTGTGTGTGTATGGCCATTCGATCCTCAGCTGCTGTTGTTCGCAAGTCCTTGGGCAAGACACTGAACCCCAACTTGCTTCCCATGGCCAGGCCAGCACCTTGCATGGTAGCTCACTGCCTTGTGTGTGTGTGAGAAGAGAGAATTCTAAAGCACTGTAAAATGCAGCCATTTATCATTTGACAGACAGCAGCCTTTATAGCATGACATTCATGCAGGATAAATATAGTAAAACACACCATCAGACAGTAAAACAGCATGGAGAGAGAAAGGCAAGATGCGTCATTAGTAGCTGATTTCTTAACTATGTTTAAGGGTTTTCAGGAACATTTTTCTTTCAGTTGTTTTATAGACCTTCCAACATTCACTGATTAGCAGGTGTTTTGTGTTGCCAAACTTTGCGGTTCATTTTGTGATATTTATTACACATGGAAAAAAACAAGCTGCAGGGGTTGACTCGGTTAAAGAAACACTTTCCTCAGACTGTTTCACTTCTTCCACAGCAAGGTTTGGGGTTATGTACATGTTACCTTTTGTAGGTTTCATTTTTCAAAATTGGACATAGATTATATTAGTATTTAAACCAATTTATTTTCATACAGATTACATACAAACTGTTAACTGCTTTTGACAAGGAGTTGATGCATTCTCTGATTAACTTTTAAGTATTTCTTCCTGAAGGGAAATACTCTTTCAAACCATTGACCATGAATGTGGTTGGTCCTGTCAAAAGCTCAGCAGTTTGCAATCAGTGTTCTTTCAGAGCATGGACTTAGTTGCCTTCCGGTGTCAAGTTAGAAATCTCTATGAAATCTAAGGTATTTTTTTACGTAGTTTGTATCTCTTTTTAGTTACTGATCATTTTCAGACTTGCTTTATATTTTTTGTTTGTTACATGGGAAGTGGGGTGGTTTGTGAAAGACTCAGTAGCATCATAGTAAATGTGTATTTCGTTATGAAATGATGTTTTGTCATCTCTCAACTAGGGATCTTGACAAAGTGCTTACACACATATATACACGTATAGTGTATACATGTCCAGTTGTGCTTAAACAAGAAACTCAACTCTGTAGACATGGATTAAGGCTTAATCCCCTAATGTAGAGACAGGTGTGATGATTAAATACAGTATAACATGTTTATTGTGCTGAAGTAACAAACAGAATACACTTAACTGTGCTAGTTTTGTTTTATATGCAGTGTTGAGCACATCTTCATTATAAATGGACTATAGGTTGTAACCAGCCTATTATATCTTATTATATTGCTTACATACCTTTTCATATCCTTATTAGTCCTGCTGCTGTATGCATCAATATATAGGATATTAGTTCAAAGTTTATCTGTGCTGTAGTACTCTGTTGCAGATTATATGTATTTATCACACATTAATGATTAATACTCAATTTTCAAAGGGTAAGCAGCACACTCCCTAAACAATGCTTGCCTTTACCATTACTTGTTGGCAGTATTTTTAAATGTTTTTGAGTAAACTTGTTGCCGTGACAACCAGAACCCACCATTTGTTTTGGTGTGTGTGACCTCATATACACTTGTCATTTCAAGATTTTAAAACCAGATGCAACGTGGCTACGTGCAAATCACGGTTTGCTGCTGCAGCTTCTTCCACCACCCCATCCTCCTCCTTAGGTGCTAAACCTTTGGTATTGTTGATCCAGCTAAGTTTTAATGTTCCTGGATAATGTTTGTTTAGAGGGGATTAGTGCCGTCAAGCACAATCTTTGTTGATTCTTTGAGTCTCTTTAACCATTTGTGATACTTGGTCTACAACCATTATCCATTAACATCACTGTGAAAATATCCCTTTAAATGTGTAATGCCCAGCTGTGGGACACGATGATACATGTACTGGTACACTGTTTATCTGATGTCATAAAGACATTTATTCTCATGTAGCAACTATAGCAATCAGTGGAAAGGTGCCAGTTCAGCCCCTGGACCACCAGGGAATTAAAGTTAATGGGCAGTGTTTGCTTTCCTCCGAGTTACCAGCTTTGAAGTGCCCTCAAGCAAGGTAACCAACAAATTGCTCAGTGGCCAGTAGGTCAGACGGGATATCTGCTCCCAGCCCCGCTGTGTGAAATTTGCAGCTTTATCCTGTCCTTTCAACTTGTCTCTGAGTTTGTTTTGGTGAGGGTAAATTCAGACTGTGGATTAGCTGAAACACAATGCTCTAAATCCTCTTTGACATTAATCAGTACATCTACACACATCATGGCCCTGCGGGTCTTGGGTTGATATTGCTTTAATAAATACCATTTCTTCATTTGTACTTGTTGTAACATGTTTTCTTTTATATCAACAGGTTCAACAAACTGGCGCCCATCTTCCTTGATCCAAATTACAAACGATTCTTCAAGATTGGTGATTATTCACCTCCGTTTGGTGTAAAATCACAAGGTATGAGTACACGTCCTTGTCTTCACAGTTGTAGGTTATACAGATCAACTCAATGGAAGTGGCTATGCATTTCTCTCCTGTTAAGACAAGATTTTTGTAACCACTAGCTGCAAAAACACCCTACCGCTGTCAAGGCCTCGGTATGTTTCGAACATTTGAAAGCGGGGTGAAAAACTTTCAGCCTCTGTTTGAAACAAGCTGCAGAGGCCCCTGTCCCTTTAAGGCCCCTCCTCTCAAAGCCTGCTGTCTCCTGATTGGCCAAGATCTGAAGACCATATATACCAAATGACCCTATAATGAACACCGGTACTGTGTAGCTCCATGTGTCATAGAACGGAGCCGTTTGTAGAAAAAGCTGTTCAAAACTGAGCGTTTTAAAAAAAATACTTTTACATCATAATTTGAAGCTTTGGCCATATTTAACATGAACATCCAACATCGTAACATTGTAGATGTAGAAGTCATAAAATATGGAAAAGCATAATAGGTCTCCTTTAAAACAAATATCCAACTTAAAACTAACTTCACCGCTTCCACACTTGCCGTGTTGCAGGGAAGAAATTTGCATTCAGAATAAACAAACATGGAGGAGAGTAAAGTTTAACTCAGAATTGGGTAATACCGAACAGGAGGACCATGCAAATCAAAACGAGGAGCTCACAACTGAGAGAGAAGTCTGTTGTATGGACGAGCCATAACACTATTCTAGCAGTTCCAGCCATCATTTATTTGTCAGTAACGGAAAACGACTTTCCCACGGACATTCAGCTTACTTTCTTTTACTTTTCTTTTACAGATGTACAATGCACACCGCTGTTTCCAGGCTGACATACATATAATTACTGGATGTCAGCCTGGAAGCGGCGGAAACTCTATCCCTCACTCGCGCTCTCTGAAATATTTTGAATACCATTATGTTTGGGTTTTCAATTTTAGAAGGTAGTGGGATAGGTCAATACGTTGCTTTCACCCAGGAGACTGCTGTTCAATTCAAGTGTGAAGCATTCAACATTGACTTCTTTTAACTTGCGTAACTATCGTACCCCAAACCATGATCTTTTCCTAAGCATGGTAAATGGTCTTTACTTGCAGAGCATCTTTCTAGTCTTCTGACAATTAAAAGTGCTTTACACTACAAGTTACATTCACCCACACATTCAGTTCAGTATCAGGGCTCAGTATCTGGACATGCAGACTGGAGGAGCGAGGGATTGAACCTCCAACCTTCTCTTTAGCGGAAGACCTGCTCTACCTCCTCAGCTAGCCCAAACCAAACCAAGTAGTTTGTGCCTAAACCTGTAATGAAACTGCAACTAAAGCTGAAATGTTTATAGGTCACTTACTGTAGGTGTACTTTGCCCGACCTCATTCTCAGAATGAATAAGCGTATTTCCTAACAAGTGGAACCATTTTTTAACTGAACCTCTTGACCCTGTCTGAATGCATTATGTATCAGCCTATAGGACCAAAAATGTAGTGTTTGGAGGAGCTGGCTGCTCATAACAAACTTTTCTCCCGTGGAATAGATGAACCATGAACCAACCTGCTTCTTTTATCACAGCTAGTCTATTTGTGCTGGAGATGAGGGCATCATAGCTGGGTGGAATGTGGAGGATTATTTCACTTTCATCTTCATCTCACTTGTTGTTTTCTCTTTCTGCCTCTTTCTCTCTCTTATATCTGCAGAGAAGATTATAGATATTCTTCTGTCAGCAACTAAGTCCTATGGCCTTGGGAAAGAACTTGACAGGTAAGTTAGTGTTGGTTGTCATATTATGCGGTGACTGACGGTGTTGTTGTCGTGATGTTACTTCAAAATAAAAGCGCAAAAGCCGTCTCCCTGCCTGTGCCTCGTTAGCCTCATGTCTTTCACCTGTGTTGCTCCCGCCCTGCTCGTTAGTCCCTGTGTGTATATATACCTGGTGTTTCTGTCTTGTCCTTGTCGGACCATTGTATGTTGTCACCCTGAGTTGCAGTGTGTGTTTCTTGTGTAGTCAGCCTCACTCGTCGTGTCTCCCTGTTTCCCTGCTCATTTTGGATTTCTGTTGGACAACCTTTGTTTTTGGACTCTGTCTTCAGCCACTCAGTTTGTAAGTGTGCTCACCTTTTGTTTATATTAAAACCCCTTCACTGAACTGCACCTGCTAGCCTTCGTGTCCTGCGTTTGGGTCCTCCAACCTCCTCCAACCTGCTTCACCACACCACTTACTGTGACACTAGATGTGATAAGATGTTCTTCATTTACTTTGGTATGTTAGTTCAGATGAGCCAACCCTCCCAAGATATAACAAAGTATTATTACAATACAGGAGAATGATACTTCATGAAACAGTTCATTTCTTGATGTGGCTGCTGTTTAATGAACAAGTAATAATATTCACTATAACATATGGTTTTACTGAATAATCAGGTAAATATAATTTCTTATATCAATGTAAAGAAACCTGATCAACCAAACCTGTCAAATCTCTGCTACAGTCTCCTCCAAAAGTATTGGAACGGTGAGGCAAATTCACATTTGGATTTGATCAGAAGATGAGTATGATACAAGAGTTCAGAATTTCAGCTCTCATTTCCTGGTGTTCACATCTAGATGTGTTAAACAACTCAGGACATACCACTCTTCGTGTGAGCCCACCCATTTTTCAAGTTTTCAAGTGAGCAAAACTTTTGGAACATGTGACTGACAGATGTTTCTTGTTGCCCAGGGTGTTGCCTTTTAGGTTGATTGTCCAAACATTAAATAGCTCTGCATGACTAGTCGAAGTTTTCATCCTTGGTTCAAACCTATAAAGACAGCATTTCGTGTTAAAGAGGATAAACCAACATGAAGACCAGAGAGCTGTCTATGGGGGGAAAAAAGCAAGGCATTGTCAAGCTGAGAAGCTGAGAAAATTGAACAGAGCCATTGGACAAACATTGGGCATAGCAAGCATAACAATCTGGAATGTCCTGAAAAAGAAAGAAACTGGTGTACTGAGCAACAGACGTCAAACAGGAAGGCCAAGGAAAACAACAATAGTTGTAATAGAAGAAAACCCCCAAAACATCAGTAAATGACATCACCAACGACCTCCACAGTGCAGGGTGAAGGTATCACAATCCACTGTTGGAAGAAGACTCAGAGAGCAGAAATATAGAGGCCACACCACAAGATGCAAACCGCTCATCAGCAGGAAGAATCGGAAGGCCAGATTGAAATATGCAAAGAAGTACAGAGATGATCCGCAAATGTTCTGGAACAAAATCTTATGGACTGAGACCAAGATTAATCTCTAGCAAAGTGATGGAAAGGCCAAAGTGTGGAGAAAGAAAGGAACTCCTTATGATCTGAAGCACTCAAGCTCATCTGTGAAGCATGGTGGAGGTAAAGCTGTGGCTTGGGCGTGCATGGCTGCTTCTGGAACAGGCTCTTATTGTATTGCATTGAAACTAATCGGAAGGAAGTTTATCATGCAGCAGGACAATGACCCAAAGCCACTGCCAAGAAAACAAAGGACTTCATCAGTGAAAGGTTTTAGACTGGCCAAGTCAATCACCTGACCTTGTATTTCACGTCCTTAAGAGGAGACTGGAGGGAGAAACACCCCGAAACAAATAAGAACTGAAAGAAGCTGCGGTTAAAGCCTGGAAAAGCATCACAAATTAAGAATGCAACAGTTTGGTGATGTGGATGGGTCGCAGGCTTGAGGCAGTTATTGGAAGCAAGGGTTATGCCACCTAATATTAAATGTTATTTACTTTAACATTATTTGTTCCATTACTTTTGCTCACCTAATAATGCTGTGGTCTAATACAAACGGTGACAAGTTGTTAACATCTAGATGTGAATACCAGCAATTTAAGATCTCATACTCATATTTTGATCTTAAACCCAAATATCTTCAGTGAACAACAAAAACAAAGGAATTTGGCTTACCGTTCCAATACTTTTGGCGGGGACTGTGTCTCATAGAGGACATCTTTTGTCCTGTCTCAGGCACTGTAGCTATACAACTCGCTTGGATAGGGGAGGGGAGGGTGCAATTCGCAACTCTAACCACTAGATGCCACTAAAACTTACACACTGAACCTTTAAACACACACCTGGTGGGATGTCTTCTTCTTTTCTATGAGAAGAAGAAAAAGTGAGACATCCTTTTGACTTAAGTAGAAGTATGGGGTAAATGACTGAAGTAAAGTATTACCACATCATAATGGTGCTTCTTCTGTGTTACAGTATGAACTGTAAGACATGCATCATCGTAGGGAATGGAGGAATACTCACCAACAAGTCTCTGGGACAGAGGATTGATGAGGTTGACGTGGTGGTCAGGTATGGCAATACACACTTTTCTGCTACCTTTTTGTTCCTTGAATCAAGGGTGTATGTATCATAGACAAGATGGGTATTCATTATATTAATAAAATAGACAATTAAAGAAACATATCAATTAGTAAATTAAAGCTGCAAGCAGCGTTGGGCGGGCCCTCGCACTTGTAAGCGCGTCCGCGTGTGAGCTGGCCGAGTTGCATATGAGCTCTGCCGGTGCGGCTGTGAATTTGCTATGCGGTTATGACGGCGCATGAAGGTGTTATATGTCACTTCCTGTGTCCCCTATGTGGAGCTACATAGCACTTGCCGCTATGAATATAAATCGGTATTGACGTGTAGATGTCTGCGGGGTCGGAGAGTTATCAAGCACGTAAAGTTTGTTTCAGATTTGAGCATGTACACTGAACAATAATGTACCCAAACAATAAAATAAATTCCTTTTATATTTCCCTGCCTTGTTGTTTATGTGTACATACAGAGGAAGAATGTGAGAACAGCACACATTTCATCGTTACTGTGTGTTAGAGCATGGGAGAACAGTGGATACTTTTAATACAGCCCACACCCCTAATACTGTGTAACTATAACAAGTAGAGAACAGAAGAAAAAGATGTTCTTTCTTTACAACTGTCTGCATAGCTTATTCATATTGTGTAATGAATGAAAATAAATAGGCCTACTAGGCTCCTCTCTACTTTGACATTTAAGATTAGCTTGTTTGATCCACCTTCATACACATGTGACATTACTGTACAACTTGAGAAAGGTGAGTTGTTTTCTGCTCCAGCCTGCCTAAAAGAAAAGCGTTTTTGGGATTAAATGGACTTTATAGCTGCTGCAGTGCAGGATGAACTCAGAATAGACCCATTTCTCACCTTATTATTCTAAATCATGCAATGAAGAAGAAATACATAATAAATCCTGTCCACAAATACTGTACAGCATGTAGTCTGATGAACAAGACTTGTGTTATAGCTGACTTGGGCAGTGAAATGTTTAATTTTTTTAATTCATGTGGTCATAGTTGTCCACAACTCAAATCAGAATATAAGAAGAAATGTTTTATACCACCTCAAGAAGGCTTCCTATCAGAAAGGTAGGAAGGTATTTCAAATGTACAACTGCAGTACTTAAATCTAAGTAAAGTAATTTCCCCTGACATTACTGTGTTACGCATGTAACAGGTTTTATACTTCCTGTGAGTATAATCCAATCAATCTTATTTTCATACTGTATATCCGTTGTGTAATTTGATAAATTGTGTTGTATGTGGTGCTCGCATCGGGTACTACTGAGACTTCATTGCCCTCTTCAGAGAAGACTCTGACTGCAACATGCGTCTTTGTAAAGAGAGAAACGGACAGAAAAAGTCTCTAACTCTGCCTGTCAGCTCGCTCTGCTCCGTTAAAACTGAATTTACCATACAGAATTGAATACGAGCGACACGTAAGAGGCTTTAGTATGTCTGGACAGCAGATAGTTCTACAACTTTGTTATTGTAATTTACTTGTACAAGCTTCATGTGGTGAATTTCTGTTAAACTCCAAGGGATATTTAAAGATCGCCATGTCTTGTTGTATTGCTGTTTTTTTTCGGTACCACCGCTGAGCCGTGACCGCTGTTCCTATTACTGTGTGAAAACGTAACAGTATTTTTATCAAGCCAAGGAACACGGTTGCTGAATGCAAGTTCACTACCGTTCCTCTCATTAATAAAGTTGTAGATGAGTGTTTGCAAGAGTAATTAGGATTTTTGCCGTTGGCTTCTGTTGAGAACAGATAGAATTGCACATTTTAGCTAATCCAAAGCCTGCAACCGCTGCTGAATGAACATTCACAGCTGGTGGCTGGAGGATAGATGGGGGGTGTGTGTGTGTGTGTGTGTGTGTGTATATATATATATATATATATATATATATATATATATATATATATATATATATATATATATAAAATCTCACTAGTTAGCTTTTCTTTGTACCTTTCTCTCCTTCATCTGCTTACTAACCCCACATGCGCCCCACACCTAGTGACCTTTGCATCTAACCACACCTGTGACCCACAGCAGGCTAGCATCAGAAGTCTCCAATTTGTTTTAGTTCAGGGGACAATGATTTTAGCCATTTTAATCCTGAAATCACATGGTCTGAACTGCCATCTTGATTCCTAAATCAGCTGGCCTGTAGCCCAATTCTGAACCGGATCTGCGACCACCCACGTGGTCGGATCCACCCCCCTCTCTTAGTCTCTCCCCCTCCTTTGTCTCACTCAATCATTTCATTATCATTTTTATTTCATTCATCACTTAGAATAGTTAATAGTGATTTACTTGCTAAAGTTGCTTGAGTTGAAATCCTATTATAATTTTAAGAAATCGTTGCCTGTGATTATTTGTGTATGATGTTGTAGTAAGAGCTGGTTACCACGGCCAGTGTACGGACTCACCCTTCTCTTTTTGCCATTTGGCTCATGTTTGGTTTGAGTTACTGTGGCTTGGTGCCCTATATTTAATTTTGAATATTAATAGTTTTATTAATATTTCTAGAATATCTTTGATATTCAGCTGATAACCATACCTGACCATATGCTGAAAACCCCAACAACGCACAGCATAAATAACTGGAAAAGAGACCAATCCTCACGGTTTTTGAGTTTCCAGAATCTATTACTGTTTACGAAATAGTTATCATGACATCAACAGGACGGAATTCGCATGGCAGAGCATCCCCGCAAAACTAGATGTAGGCCTATGTATAATTTTAACTTAAGTTAAATAGGCTACAGATGTGTAGTGCACAGAAGCTGTTGCCATGGTTACTATCCATAGTGCCTGCTGTTTACTCGCAGAGCGCTGTCTTACTTCTCCCACACGCTGCATCCATCGTAGTCTGCCGAAGCCTCCCTCCGCTGCTTGTTTGGGTGGGTGATTTGCAGACTGATCAACATCTCACCCCTCCTGTGACCCATGGTTTGACTGTATGTGTATTCAGAGCCAGTGAGCAACGGACTTTCAAAATAATAATAATAATAATAATAAACTGTGTTAATGTGAGAATAATTGTCTGCATTAATAAATTAATGCGTAAACGCGATAACGTATTAACTTGCCCAGCTCCAAGTGGTGGATTTTATGTACTGTATTTGTTTTCTTTAAATTATGACTCATTTAGTTTTTGATATCCAAGGACAGAGCTGTCATAATTTGGATAAATTTAAAGCAATGATGAAGGTCTTTAAATATAAATTGACTTTATCACTTGACTACTGTCTCTATATTGGGGGTGTTCATTCTGTTGTTAATCACAACCAAATGACCAACTAACAAGAACTTGGTTTTGCAGATTCTGTCATCAGTGATTATGATTATTAAAAAGTCCTACAAAAACACTTTTTATTGTTAGATCATTATAACATCAGTATGTTTTCATGACACTTTCTTTACCTCCCATAGGCCACACCATTGCCCATTGAACTGCTTTTACACATTTACGTTCCCTCACCTGATTATAAATAGTTTCCTCTGTGCTCTACAACAGCACATTCAAAAGACAAAATTTAACCACTTTTGATTATTTTGGACAGTGAATTCTGTGATTTATTGTGCAGCTGTGTGTTGCAGGTTAAACGAGGCCCCAGTGAAAGGCTTTGAGAAAGACGTCGGTTCCAAGACCACCATTAGGATCACCTATCCAGAAGGGGCCATCCAGAAGACTGAACGCTATGAGACGAAGTCCCTGTTTGTCCTCTCTGCCTTCAAAGCTCTGGACTTCAAGTGGCTCCGACACATGATCTTCAACCAGAGACTAGTAAGGCAGCTGAAAGTTTTTTTTTATTTTTTATTTTACAGCTGCACCAGCAAATGCAGCAATAGCAACACAGTTGGGGATAGGGATCACTTGCTCATTCATTTACTCAGTGTCACTAGGTGGACAGTGAATGTTTTCAGCCTCTTGTTTTTATTTTGACCTACCCACCTATGTTTTATGTATGAGTGGAAACACTGCTGCTCCAGTACTGATTAAAGATATACCAGTATATCAGGGCTGTATATCATGGCTTCACAGAATGTGACTGATAAAACGTAACACAATTATTTTGTTTATTACGGAAAGAGGCCTAATCTACTGAGTTGCAATATTATTATTGTAGTTGTAATGTGTTCACAAAAGCCCCGCAGCTCCATTTTGCACTCTCATCTTGTCAGCTGAACAATCTATAAACAGATTCTGATCAAGCGCGTAGGACAGCAACAGTGGCCGACTCAGGACAAAAAGTGTTGTATTCTGACATAGAGAGTTGCAAGTCAAAAAATTAGGTTTCTTTAGATGGATATATTAAGAAATTACACTCACCTAAAGGATTATTAGGAACACCACACTAATACTGTGTTTGACCCCCTTTCGCCTTCAGAACTGCCTTAATTCTACGTGGCATTGATTCAACAAGGTGCTGAAAGCATTCTTTAGAAATGTTGGCCCATATTGATAGGATAGCATCTTGCAGTTGATAGAGATTTGTGGGATGCACATCCAGGGCACGAAACTCCCGTTCCACCACATCCCAAAGATGCTCTATTGGGTTGAGATCTGGTGACTGTGGGGGCCATTTTAGTACAGTGAACTCATTGTCAAGTTCAAGAAACCAGTTTGAAATGATTAGAGCTTTGCGATATGGTGCATTATCCTGCTGGAAGTAGCCATCAGAGGATGGGTACATGGTGGCCATAAAGGCATGGACATGGTCAGAAACAATGCTCAGGTAGGCCGTGGCATTTAAACGATGCCCAATTGGCACTAAGGGGCCTAAAGTGTGCCAAGAAAACATCCCCCACACCATTACACCACCACCACCAGCCTGCACAGTGGTAACAAGGCATGATGGATCCATGTTCTTATTCTGTTTACGCCAAATTCTGACTACCATCTAAATGTCTCAACAGAAATCGAGACTCGTCAGACCAGGCAACATTTTTCCAGTCTTCAACTGTCCAATTTTGGTGAGCTCTTGCAAATTGTAGCCTCTTTTTCCTATTTGTAGTGGAGATGAGTGGTACCCGGTGGGGTCTTCTGCTGTTGTAGCCCATCCGCCTCAAGGTTGTGCGTGTTGTGGCTTCACAAATGCTTTGCTGCATAGTCGGCCCATTCTCCTCTGACCTCTAGCATCAACAAGGCATTTTCGCCCACAGGACTGCCGCATACTGGATGTTTTTCCCTTTTCACACCATTCTTTGTAAACCCTAGAAATGGTTGTGCGTGAAAATCCCAGTAACTGAGCAGATTGTGAAATACTCCAACAACCATGCCACGCTCAAAATTGCTTAAATCACCTTTCTTTCCCATTCTGACATTCAGGACCACAACCCTAAATGCATTGAAGCAACTGCCATGTGATTGGTTGATTAGATAATTGCATTAATGAGAAATTGAACAGGTGTTCCTAATAATCCTTTAGGTGAGTGTATATTTACTGAATTATTCCATAAAACCATATGGTATTGTGAATATTATTGTTAATTCTTCATCAAACAACAGCAACATCAAGAAATGAAGTGCTACATGATGTGGCATACTCCTGTAATACATTATTTTAGTGTACTGTAATACTTTTTTTGTTACATCTTGGGAGGGTTGGCTCATCTGGACTAACATACAATGAAGAACATCTCAAAAACTAGCCTATTACATCTAGTGCATCAAGTATGACCACTGACGGATATCAGGAAAATGTAAGCCTCACTGTTTCTGCACGGCAGTCCATTATAAACCACATAATACACTTTACAAAGGCATAGTTAGGCGAGGATCAAGGCTCCTCTCCACTTTGTTTAACTAGATAAGCAATCTGCAATCCAAAAATAGAAACAAAAAGTAGCATTGATAGCCATAATTTCAGCTTGTGGTAAAACGGTGCAATGTCTTAAATGGGCATTTAGCATGGGAATGATCAAGTTACACATTTGTGTGCACAGTAGCAAAGCAATAGCCTACAAACAAATAGGTTTTTTTAAATCAATTTTTTTATGCAAATTCTTAAAGTAAGCATTATTGGTCACTTGACCTGTTAGTTCTCCTTTGATCTCCACAGACAGGCTCCTTGACTTGCAAACTGTCGATGACAAATATTTCCTCGCTGTCTTGCGCTCTAACCAAGCCTGTTTGTAATGCAGGTTTTGTAATCGTATCTCTGTTAGCAGTAAAAATAAAGTGTTTTCCACCAGGGCAGTAAAATGTGAAATTTAGCTGCTGACATGAACTTCCATGCTGTACAGTTTTATTGCCAATAATATTCATCAGCTGATCGTCTCACAAATGTTACCAACACATGCGCTGGAGAATAACTACATGAAATTACCCCCAGATTTCATATTTCTTCAAAATGGTATAAAAAATCTTCCTCTCGTGACCCAAATGTATCATCCCACCCCTAATCTGAGCCCTCATGTCCACCACTTTTCAACACAAAGTGATGCCCTTGTTATTACTTGTTTAAATGTGATAAAAACAGTTCATTAGTGACTACCCTAATCACCACCACAGTTTAATGTGTACAGTTGTTTCAATTATTTGTCAACATTTTTCAGAAGATGCTTGAAAGACTGGGACCTAGAGAGTAAGGGGGTCCACAGAGAGAAAGCTTGTATATCACCCAGGCCTAATTGGAACATCACATTACCACATTAGGTTGTCGTTTTTGGTTTTGACTGAAATGTCATCTTTTGGATGGATTACCATGAGACGTTCATTCCCCCTCTGGATGAATTGTATTTACTTCACCTAGCATCATTATCAAGTCAATATGCAATTACTTTGTTTTAATGACTGAACACCTGCCAACATTATTATATATAATTATATATTTATTCATGTGTGTAATTATGCAATATATATTATAACTAGGTGTGAAAAACATTTTAGTTAGCTGAAATAAAAATTAACAACCAATGAAAAATAGAAAAAAAAAAAAGATTTTTAAATAATTAATTTGCATTTTATTGCAAGTATTTGATCACCTACCAACCAGTAAGAATTCCGTCTCTCACAGACCTGTTAGCTCTCCTTTAAGAAGCCCTCCTGTTCTCCACTCATTACCTGTATTAACTGCACCTGTTTAAACTCGTTACCTGTATAAAAGACACCTGTCCGCACACTCAGTAAAACAGACTCCAACCTCTCCACAATGGCCAAGACCAGAGAGCTGTGTAAGGACATCAGGGATAAAATTGTAGACCTGCACAAGCCTGGGATGGCCTACAGGACAATAGGCAAGCAGCTTGGTGAGAAGGCAACAACTGTTAGCGCAATTATTAGAAAATGGAAGATGACTGTCAGTCTCCCTCGGTCTGGGGCTCCATGCAAGATCTCACCTCGTGGGGCACCAATGATCATGAGGAAAGATGAGGGATCAGCCCAGAACTACACGGCAGGACCTCGTCAATGACAATGAAGAGAGCTGGGACCACATTCTCAAAGAAAACCATTAGTAACACACTACGCCGTCATGGATTAAAATGCTGCAGCGCACGCAAGGTCCCCCTGCTCAAGCCAGCGCATGTCCAGGCCCGTCTGACGTTTGCCACTCTCCATCTGGATGATCCAGAGGAGGAATGGGAGAAGGTCATGTGGTCTGAGACAAATAGAGCTTTTTGGTCTAAACTCCACTTGCTGTGTTTGGAGTAAGAAGAAGGATGAGTACAACCCCAAGAATACCATCCCAACCGTGAAGAATGGAGGTGGAAACATCATTCTTTGGGGATGCTTTTCTGCACAGGGGACAGGGCGACTTCGCCGTATTGAGGGGAGGATGGATGGGGCCATGTATCACGAGATCTTGGCCAACAACCTCCTTCCCTCAGTAAGAGCATTGAAGATGGGTCGTGGCTGGGTCTTCCAGCATGACAACGACCCAAAACACACAGCCAGGGCAACTGCCTCCGTAAGAAGCATCTCAAGGTCCTGGAGTGGCCTTACCAGTCTCCAGACCTGAACCTAATAGAAAATCTTTGGAGGGAGCTGAAAGTCCATATTGCCCAGCGACCACCCCGAAACCTGAAGGATCTGGAGAAGGTCTATATGGTTGAGTGGGCCAAAATCCCTGCTGCAGTGTGTGCAAACCTGGTCAAGAACTACAGGAAATGTATGATCCCTGTAATTGCAATTCTGTACCAAATATGAAGTTCTGCTTTTCTAATGTATCAAACACTTATGTCATGTAATAAAATGCAAATTAACTATTTAAAAATCAGGGTGAGGGCACCTCTTCTCTGGAGTAAAAGTGAAGAGAAACAAGAGTAGGAGGGCAGGTTAGAGGGCACTCTGAGCAATGTGAGCAGAGAAATGGAAAGGCACCCTGGGCACTTCTGAGGAGGGCCAGCAGGAAAATTAACATGACAGTGACACACATGTCTGATCATAAAGAGAAATTAAGAAAGGCAGTTGGATGCAGAAGAATAATTTATTCTGAGACATTTGAGATCTAGATAATCCAGCAAGAGTGCAATTTAATATCACAGAGATGTGAATGAGTGCCTTATTTTGTCATCTTTTTTGTAAAGTAACACCATACTGACTAAGTTGATTGCTGAGATATCATATCTTTTTCTTATCTATACTTTTGTGTTTTCACACACAACGTTTAACTAACATTTCTTCTTCATTACACCGTAACGACAATTATGAGGAAATGTATTGTTCACTGCCTTCACCCATTTACACTAAACTGCTGTAACAGGCCAAATGAGTCTTATGTTTTACCAGTAAAACTCACATATTAATGCCTTTGTTCACCATTTGTGATGTGAAAATGTCACATCTCCACACAGTCAGAAAAAGAAAAAAGCGGTCATAGTTCAGTCACCATGGAGCTTCTCCGAAGCTGCTGCTGACCGTGCAGTCAGCCGAAGAGTCAGTCACACTGGACAGTGGTAGAGGAGATTGTACCAGCGCCTGGTTCAAAAATAGTTTAGCCAACTTTACTAACTTTCAGCATTGGAACGCTTTATCATTGTAAAAGTGGACTGCACAATGTTTAGGGTCAGCCCTACTCAATGGCAGTGGATGACACTCCACAAAGGAGATCAGCTTCTGTGTGTGTGTGTGTGTGTGAAACAAAAACTGGCATACTTTCTTATCAATATTGTTCCTCTGTTTAGGATTTAGGTATTTTTATAAGCCTCAACATCAATCCAGCATACTATGTCTGCCTCCCTATTGCCACATCTGCCTGTGTCTGTTCCAACCGCTAGGTGGGTACAGGATTTATGTGTGCGCATGCTTGAGTAGGAATGTAAAACATTCCTGCAGCTAGAGTCACAACATACCTGCGTTGTACTCCTTCTCTATTCCTCCTCACTGGCAGGAGGAATGGAAAAGGCACAGACATCTGAAGCAATTTTGGGTTCAGTATCTTGGCCAAGGACACTTCAGCATGAGGGCTGGAGTAGCCGGGTATTGAAACACTGACCTTCTGATTAGTGGACTCTCTACCTCCTGAGATAAAAGCAATTAATGGCTACTGCTGTGATCAAATGGTCATTTCTGTGTAGAAGATTCATCCCATCACTCTGTTGGTCTTGTTGAATCTAAAAAACTAATTAACAATTGTAGAGTTGTTGAGGTGCTTCAACACAACAATCTAAACAACACACACTTGGGTCGGTTGCACCAGCAGGGCTTACACCTGGTCTTAAGCTAAGTTGGTCGTAACTTGGCGTTCTTAGTCCAACATAGCAGTTACGCTGGTTGCACCATCTAGGCTTAAGCCTTCTTCTCGCTAAGACTGGGCATTAATCTTACTTTTAGTCAGCGGCAGGCGTAAAGTCAAAATTTAGGTCCTTTCTGTAGTAATGACATAACTATACATATAGACTTGTCAACCACAAGGAATACCATTGTGGTGTCCGAACAATAATGCTGCGATGATGTGTTGAGAAGAAATCCGCTTGACACTGTTCTTGATCCTAAAAGTTTATTACATCAAGGAGTTCAGCATCAATTGCAAGCTCTGCAGCAGCTTGGAGAGAGACCCAGCCCGATTACCACTCTGTCTCTCTGTACATCAAACACAGCTTATATAGGACATGTTTAGGTATCTGCTAAATTCCATAGAAGGGTTTGAGTCTGCAAACTAAAGCTCCAATCCATATAAGGGCACAGTCCTATAGGATAAGTGTAAACATCCGTTAGACACCATAGAAGGGTTCAGTCCCTACATAAACACTGACCTCTACTCTCCCCTGAAAAGGTCACTAATCCTCTATCCAGCTGCTACAGTGTTATTTTAAACTTATGGTCAAATGCACGTTATACACCACTATTGCCAATAAATATACTGTAATATATATTTAATTTGGTTGCAAGATGGCTGACTGTTCCTCGGTGATAGTGGCTACCCACTGAAAAGCTGGCTGGTGACACCGATAATTAGGGCTGGGTATCGACTGAATTGCCTCAATACCATCGAGTATCAAAAAACATCTTGTCTTTCAGTACCAAATTGTTAACGTCAATGAGCTAATAAGCATGCAGCATGTTTGATGTGCCCAAATCTAAAAGTGATTGTAGTTGGCTGTGGTGATGTAAACACTAGTTCACGCCGGTTACGCACAGAGACGTGGTTCGTGAATGTAAAAAAATGTGGAGAAAATCAAAAGTGTGGCTTGATGCAATATTTGCGACGTATGATAATTGCTGCCAAGAGCGGCAACGACAAACCTGGTGAAGCCCTTGGCTGTGCATGGAATAAACTTAAGAGCAGAAAGTTGCTCCGTCTTTGACTGCAACAAGACAGAGCCGGTGCAGTCATTGTCTCAGCGCTCTCCTGCCACCGAGCTTGCTTCAACATGCCCACCATACGAGCAGTGTTGGGCAGTAGCATTGCTACAAGTAGCGCCATTACTAGTTTAACTACATTTCTCAGTAGCTTGGTGGCAGCATCACTGTTTTCTGAATCAAATCAAAGAATAACATTGACAGATCAAAGAATAAGATTGACAAAGTAGCGTCCACACACGCTGACACCACTGCTACACACGGACCTGTATGTGAAGCTGGCGGAAGCGCTTCCTGTGACAGTAACATCGCATACCGATCCTTGGGCTGATGTTTTAGGCCTATTGCCATGAATGTTTAGGTTGCAATGTTGCCAGAGCACAAATTCACATATAAACAATAAAAAATATATAATTAATAAACCATGAAATTACATTATAAAAACTAAAGAAAAAGGAATAAAAACAAAACACAATATAGGCCTATGTTACATTGAAAATGTAAGGAACAATTATTAAAATAATAATGTGATAATTAAGTTACTTTGTATAAACAAGTGGTTCTGTTTGTTGAGAATAAAATTGATATTGAAAAAACTTATCGTTCAGGAACCGGTATTGAAGTAGAGGTATTGAATCAATATCGAAAATCTTTGAACAATACCAAGCCCTACCAAATATCACTCTGAGGAATAAGCAAGAATATCTGTATAACACATCCATGCCTCCACCAGGTCAGTTATTTAGTCCTCATGCGCAGGTAAGCTACATAACTTGACTATATTACAAAAAAATCAGCACGTAAACTGTAATTCTTCCATTACTCCCTCTTAAACTTCAATAATTGTCTTTATGCTGTCTTTATTCCGAATTATTCATTCTATGCCTACAATTGTCTTATTTAAATAATAACTGAAGAAATGTTTATAGATGGAAATGCATATATAGCTTGGAAAATGCAGTATAAAGCTGACAAAAAGGTAAAATGATGATGATGATAATAATGAATGAATAATAATGTATATGGGCCATGTGTCAGCACCATGGATAGTGCTGAAGGGAGGAGAGGGAGACACAAAATTCCGCTATCTGAGGTGCTGACACATTGATTAGGACAGATCACCATACAACGTAGAGCTGACAGTTCACTAAATTCTTTTCAACATTGCCTCATGTTCCTTTTAAACATAAAGGAGACAGAAATAAAGAAAAACAGACTAAACAAACACACAAACTCACCACTTGCCTGCCTGACAGACCCTAATCATTACCTAGATTTAGGTGGAGCTGCCGAGACGGCCTGAAAGAGTCTACTCTGTCATAGTAGCGTGCACTGTCCTCATCTACCTTTGTCACCAGAAGGATCCCCATCCTGGGAAACACCGTCAACCAGTGCAGGAGGAAGATCTTTTTATTTATTTATTTTTTATTAAACCAGGAAAAAGGTAATGGGCACCCTGTCGTCTCTGCAGTGCATGAGGACATCAGTGGACTAGTGACTAGTCTGTGCATACATTAACACCTAATAGGTTCAGACATTTCTCTCTTGATTGATACATGTTTAAGATGTTTTCAATAATGTTCAGTTTAAATAATTTCCCATTCAACTGTCTGCATGTTGTAAACCAAATATAAGGGATATTGCTAAAAAACAGAATGTAAATAAACAAGTTATAGTTTACATCAGATTGTGGTTGGTTGTTATTGTCATTATTTTTCTTATGAAGTTGATTTAATTCAATGCCTTAGAGGCCCGCTTCTCCTCTTTAAAAATATGGGAGGGGGCTTGTCGTTGTTGGAGCAACTCTATTTCTAGAGCCAATTTCTGTTTTTCTAGCTCAAACTTTTCTTCCATCTGTAATATTTTTGTATCAGCCTCCACTCTAAGGATTTCCTTCTAAAGCATCTAAAGCAGCACCTGCTGAAGTTGTATGTTGGCTCCTTCATTTCCTTGGTGGTTCTACGCTGCTGCCATGAAGCATTTTTGGAGGAGTGAAATCAAATTCATCAAGACTTGTAATTTTGACTTGGACCACATCCATTTCTGGAGAGGCATCTCTCTCTTACAGCAGTTAGTTTATTCCGGTGCTTTCCTCACCGAACAAACCAGTAAACACAGGGGACTCTTCTATAAAAACATCAGTAGGCTACATGCACACTGCGGCACTGACTTACTTCTGCTAAAATCTCCACCAGCTAAACCACTTCCGCTATTATCCCGCTGCTATGATTTTTGGCAAGCGATATAGATAATGTCTCAGAAGTTTAAATTTTAGCACACAGATAGCTCCACAGCTGAATATTGCTGTGTGCCTTTGTGTCAAACGTCTAGTAAGTACAACAACGTACTTAGTTTATATACATTTCCCTCTGATGTGGAAATCAGGCGAAAATGGACTGTCACTATCTGGATGGAGAACTTTGATTAGCCCCCATACTCGAGTTTGTAGCCGGCATTTTAAAAAAGAGGATGTTCGTGAGCCAGGATCCGAGACATGGAGGCGACTGCTAAAGAAGGGAGCTGTTCCAGCGTTGTTTGAGTGGAACAATTTTACTCTTCCACGTTCAAGACCAGGGGTATGGGAGAGGATAGAACGAGGACACGGAGGCAATCCTCGGGAACCACGACTATGTGTCGGCTCCAGATCCAGCAGTTGTCAACTTAGCTCTGGATTCCACAAAGTCTCTTAAGGAGGAAATCTTCCAGCTGTGGAAACAAATTGAGAAACTGACTAATAATCAGCAGTTTGGCATTCATCGTTTTTGTGGCTCAGACAAGGACATATGGTTCTTCACAAGGTAAGACGTCCAGCAGGCTCAGATTAACCTAGAGGTAGTTGAGGTAGATGTCCTAAGGATTACAGACATGTTCACCTGTACCGATTTAAGTTTAATGGTTAATAAATTAAACTAGATCTCAGCAGCATGTACAGAATAGTTTACTATAATAGTTTTTTGGTCAGAATCATTGTAACATTACTGGTTTTGTTATTGTCAAACATCTAACGTTACTCCTGATTGCTGTGTAGTGGCAATGGCAGCAGATATAGTAATGTGTGTGTGTTTGAAATGCTTCCATTTAGACACTATTAAATGCTTTTTTTCAGGTTTGCATCCTGTGACCTACTCCTACTACACGCGATTCTGGGCCCACCTGGATGCATAATTCTGGTCTCCTTTGAAAGGTCAGAAGCTAAGGAATATAAATCCATTGTAGATTAACATTTATTTTACCATTACAGACTACATTGATATGAAACAGAAAAAATATATTTTTCCTCCTCGCCTGGTAAAAAAAAAAAAAAAATCTTTTGATGCAATAAACCATCAAAACCATCCTTAGGTAGATTATAATGCACCTGAATTTCTTCTTCTAATACACCTAGAATACAGCTGCAACTGTACATTTGATGAAAAGAAACTGATATACAACAGTTATTACACAATCTTTCAAAAATATACCAGGCGAATGTCCATGTTTTGGCCATATTTACTGTTTATATGTTCACTTTTATTGGTAGTTATCTTCAAAACATTATTTCTCTCCATACAACCACATTCCAACAACAACGCTTCCAAAACATTGAAATATTGATAAAAACAGTCAATATAAATGATCAAAAGCACTCCCATGCTTTACAGGCCCACAGCTTGAGAACAGAACATCCTACAGGGCTGTGGGTGGGTCTCGACGACACGATTTCAGGCATAACCTCAATGTGTAGCTCCTACGGGTCGCCAGCAGAGACCGATAAAGATCGCCTCCGCCAAATTACACTCTTCTTCGGCTCTCATACCTCGTGACACAAATGAAACCGCAGCCGACCTCACCAAGATGGCGGCCTGCCAGACGTTCTCTGTGGACAAAGCGCCGCAGTTTTTCAGCAGGGGCTGGCTCAAATAGTGGCATCGGCAGCTACCAGTGGCATTTCCGGTGGCAGCTTGAGATGCCGCGGCATCTGCCTCTGTTATCTGCGGCATTTCCGGTGGCAGGCGGCACCTGCCGCTGTTTTGTGGCATTTCTGGTGGTAATCTAAAAATGCCACAGATTTTCCCTGAGGTGCCACAGCACCTTTCGCCGTTTGTGATATTTCTGGTGAAACAGACATGCCACAGATTGACCAAGGCACCTGCCGTTGTTTGTGTGGGATTTATGGTTGCAATCTAACGTTACGATGCTACGGCATCTGCCGCCGATTCAAATCCATAAACCTGGACCAAGAGAAATGTTAACAGTAGTTTATTATGCAATATATAATATTGTGCATTTCTTCATGTAAACAGCAGTGTATTGGTGCAATACAGTTGGTAGTTTAACCTGTAGTTGTGTGTGCAGAGTTGTTACTGTTGGCACTATGTTTAATATTAAATTCATATTTAATGTGGTTTTCATAGTATTCTTTTTCGCCTTTCTACCAGCAGGTGGCAGTATTTAAATGAATGTCCGGTTTGTGTCTTTAACTGTTTTAAATCCAGGTTACCGATACAGATGTATTGTTCATTTCATTTGTTTTCATTAAGGATTAATTTGTAACCTAGTTACCATCTTCATTCACCCACAGCCCAGTGTTAAAACCTGCATCCCCTTCTGTTCTAATGGTAACCTATATGTAGGCTACTGTTTGAATCTTTCTCCTCCATACACATTCCAGTGTATAATATACAATACTCCCATTGTGTAATGCAAGTGGAGAGGGTTCATACAAGTCTTAAACATTTATTCAACATATAATGCACACACATACTTTCAATGGCATTAAGTGTTCAGAAACTAAGTACCACTGTATAGTAACCTATATTTCGAATTGCAATAACACTATAATATTATGAATTAACAAATGTACAGTCTATGGCTGCAAGGTAAGAACATTTTGAGGTCCACAAATGCGGTAGGTCTGTAGTAAGTCCAAAAACCATAGGTGTCATTGACACTGGGGACATGTCCCCACTACTTTTGGCTGATTTCGTCCCCTTTTACTTTTTGAAAGCATAACTTGTTAAAATGTTGTGGAAAAATAGCTTGCAACAAGAAATGTTAAATTACAAATTAAGATGTCTGAGAAAAAAGTGTTTAACACAAAATGTCATATCAAATATCAGCATTGAAGATTTCTTCAAAAAGCATTAAACTTCTCATCATGTTCTCTTGAACCCAATATTGTGCATTGTCGCAGCCGTTATCTGAGCCCTTATACCTCAACCACTCAACAAAGTGACGCCCTTGCCAACACATAATTACATTTTTCAAATAAATTAAAAAACCACACACAGGCTGTCAACGCAGAGAATGTCTTCTCGGGACGGCAGGTCTGTGAGGCCATATTACATAATGTTCTGGTGATATTCTACAATAGTATGCAAACAAAGTTAGAAAGCAAAATAGCGTACTTTGGCTTTTTCGTTAAACTTTGACCTTTCACCAAACCCAATTGTTCACCATTGTCTTTGGCATCCTAATGTCGTCCTCTGTAATCTCACAAATGTGGTAACATTTTAGTGCACAAACAGTTATAAAAATGTGTTAACATTCATGCTTTCACAAGGGAAAGACTCAGGATTAAGCTGTTTTAAGTCTATTTGAGGGCAGCTCATTCTTTTTTATGAGTAAACAAATTTGGTATTTGTGTGTATATTTTATTCAGAAAACACATGGATGAGGAAAACCTTGAAAAAGCTGAAGTTACCTGTACAGAAAAGCTGCCAGCAATAAGACCTGCTGGGCCTCGGCAAGTCTGCCCACACATATAAAGTCAGCACTGTGGCCCTGACTGATGATCATTTGCAGAGAGGAAGTTTTCCCTCTTGCAATAACAGGGTGTCACAATTTGTGGTGAAGGCAGGGTTGAGCAGTTTGGAGGACCCAAACGCAGGACACGAAGGCTAGCAGGAGAAGTTCAGTGATTTATTTAAGGCAACAAAAGGCGAGCACACTTACAGACTGAGTCCAAAAACAAAGGTTGTCCAACAGAAATCCAAATCCAAAATTAAAGCTGCAAGCAGCGTTGGTCCGCCCAACCCTTACTG